GTGAGTGATAAGTTGTCACTTCACCGTGAAGTGACATCGGTAAAAAGGGCCTGAACGTCAGTTTATCACGGATACGAATTTTGTTCATTTAAAACAAAAATATAAATGTTTATACTCTAAAAATATGAATTATTCAAAGTAAATTGAAAGCATGTTTAAAACTAAAATATTTATGTTTGAATTAAATTCAAAAGCATGTTCATTTCAACAATATAGGATTTGGGTAAACGGTTTTTTAGCGTGTCATGCCTTTTTATTTCCTTCTTGTTACATTCGGAAAAAGTTGCCCCAGCTTTGCTCAACCTCAACAGAAAATGGCCATCCATTCCGAATCCATTCCGGATCGAAGGGGACGACTCTATCTACGATGCAAAAAAGATTGTGTTTTGCTGTGGCTAGCTGCGTGCACGCTGAGTAGATAGAAAGAAGATTGATGACGATTCTGAAGATTTCCTGCAAAAAGATGATGCGCGATGCAAGCCCTAATAAATTTGTTATGGTTATTTTGCTTAACGACGTGTTCGGGGAATCATCCAAACAATTTGTGGAATAATTCGATCATTTGGGCTATCATTCGTTTATGGTATTTTTATTATTAGGGAGTAGATGCGACAAATGAAAGAAGATTTTTCGAAGATTGATTCGCTAGTGTGAGATTTGTTGAGCATCTAAACTTGAGATTTAGATGTGTCGCCCCCCTCGTTCCGGATCCTCCTCCTATACCGAACATGGAAAGAAACCGGTATGAGGACCAGTGGCAGAAACCGAGGCAGAAACGGCAAAATGACGCTAATAACACAAATTTGCACCGGTTTCACTGAACCATAGAGGTAACTCTAAGACCACTGGGTCCCGAAGAAAATCATTATTATTTTTGGCTCACTCAGTACCAGAACAACGGTCCCAAGCAGTCCCAAGCTATTTCACTCACCCCTGCATGTTCTGCATGAATCCACACACCCCTGATGTTATCTGTCAAACTTTCATAGCGAATCAAAACAAACATAGTGTAGTAATAGAATTTCAACTAGAATAGGGTACGTTAATCGTTTGCTTGGGACCAATAGGCTACTAAAGTGGTGAGCCAATTAAAAATCGTTAGTTTCGTATTGATTGTTGACTGAACTGGAACCCCCGGACACCCACTCCGACGGGTCCTCGCATCCCGGACCAGGACCCCAATACCCACAGGTCACCCTTAATCACACCCGCACATGAGAAGCATGTTTTAAATAAACATATTTATTATTGTTCGCATAGCTGTCAAACCAAACAAAAATAAATACGTTTATTTTCAACACGAATATTTTTGAAATAAACGTAACATTATTTTTATTTTAAACATTGATTTCACATGACTTCAAACATGGAATACGTTTGAAATCAACCTTATTTATGTTTGTGGCCAGAACAAACTGAGTTTACGTTTAAATTTACCTCAAATATTTTTGTTACGACGATAGTTTTTTCTGCGTGATTCACGTTCGCAGTCATTGGTCACAATTGATATTGGCTACGATGGGATATCCACAGGACTTTATAGGGATGTCCGTATAATTTTGAATGAAGTCCCAGTACTGCTGGGGGAAGTAAATAGGTATTAACCTCACATATTCCATCAGACCTGGATCGGAGTACGATTATCTTAGTGCAGTATTATAGGATTTATAGGAACGGATCATTGCAGTTAAAAATGTTATTACATAAGGGAAATGGCTCTAATGTTGGCCTATGGATCGAAGATTGGTCTAAAAATCTGCTATTTATCAATTTTATCTAGATGAACGTGTCATTGGGACGGTACTAATGGATATTTTTGGATCCTATTGAAAATTTAGTCGATTGTTGTCTTTATGTATGGGCCCAAATTAGGGACATTTAGGCCGACATTACATTCATTTCTCCTACTATTCCACGAGTCCGTCAAGCATATCCCCTTTACCAGATCCGGTAATTTTACTGATGCATTTCTGTTATCATTATTTCTGCACCATCTGTAGAACTAGTTCGTATCAAGGGACGATGGGTGGTCTACCGATCGGTCAACTGTAAGGCCTTGCTCATTACTAAAAATTTGGTTTGAGGCTTTATTAAAAACTGGCCCGAGTCGCTCCTAGCGTGGGATTGAATTCTCGCCCGTTCAAATTCTGAGTTACTTTAGTCGTTAATAATTTGACAGGGAAAAGGTGGCAATTTCACCCATCATCGATCGGGTTACGCCTTCGTTTCTGTACATCTTCAAGGAATCGGCAGCAGATTAATGTGTGCAGAGTTGAATACTCCTTGATACGACCTATTATTTTAAAAGTAGGGAACGACCAATAAAGATTTTCAAATGTATACATCGAAATCACATAAACCTAAAAGTAAAGAATTACCAACATAAATCCACAGACAAACAGACATAACACATTGAATATTTCTTACTGTAAAACATCGTCGCTAAAACATTACCGCCATCTGTTGAGTACACTGCACAGTGGTACAGAATGCAGATTTAGCTGGAATGATATGTTTTGAGCCTGAAATTGAAACTTTAGACTAAAAGTCTCTTCTACAAAGTTGTTCCTTATAGTTAGGCCCTCATTTTTATGACATTGAATTCTAGGGTGGTTCCTATTATCATTAAAATCAAAAATCTAACTTTTTTGTTTGAATAAATTAAGGTATACATTCTTGGGCAAAGTTATAGCTGAGCTAATTTCAAGCAACTGTGGTGAAAATAACTTTTTTGTATCTCTTAAATTGGCCGATTTAGAGCTATTTTCTTGAATTGAGTTAGGGTGACTCTTAAAAAAACAGTTTTTTTGCTCTGTTTTTCTTATTTCGAATTTTTCAGCAAAGGTGTCTTGAGATAACTTTTAGATCTTAAGAAGACGCAAATTTTTGCTACACAAAGCTTGCCAATATCTTTCGCCGATCAAGAGTTATTGATTTTTTTATACTAAAATTATGCACTTTTCAAATGTTAATATCTCTGGTTGGGGCAAACAAAAAAAAAGTTTTTTTGCAGCATTTGAAAGGGCGTATGTTATTCTCAATAATATGAAAAAATTGGAGGTATGTTATTTTTTAAACTCGTATAAAATCAATTTGAATTTATTCATATTTTTTACTATATTTGGCTATATCTTTTTTATTAGAAGAGATACAGGCAACAAATTCAGCTATAAAACATTCGTCTTAAAGAGTTTTAAAATGCTCTCCAAGATAACTTTCATGTGGTGGGCACTATGCTGAACAGATGGCAGTAGTGTGTAAACGTCAAACGCAAGGGAATTGACTATGCGCGCCACAGGTGGTGGTACTACCAACTACGATACTTTTAAATTGTCCGTTAAATGCTTGTTCGATGAACAGCTTGCGAGTGTTATGTCTGTTTGTCTGTGATAAATCTATATTTTTCTAGAGGCTGCTTGAGGGGCTGCTGAGCCAGAATTTTTATGTTGTCTGCTATTTTTCACCCATACGCTTAGAACCAACGCAAAACAAACACTTGCGGCTTGACTTGCGGTGTACAAGCGACAACTGTAAAAATATGCAATATTCTTTGGTACAAGTAATTTAAATATTTACCTTATTGGACAAAACCCAGGTAATCATGTCGTTTGATTATTGAAAACAATTTGAATAAAGAAAACTACAAGGGACAGCCCTATGGGGTTGTTCGCAATGGTGACGTAGGACTACGTGGTCTTATATGATGAATCTTATTTGTTAACTGCAGCAGGAGCTTGTGTTTTGTGGAGCAATAGGAATTTGAGCGGGGTTCTCTCTGTTTATACTCTTAAGTATGACGCGCTTGACATATATGGCCAACAGCGACCCACGAAGAGCTACTGATTCCGATTTGCGGTGCGGCCTCTTCCGCCTTCTATGAATGATCATGTAGGCTGCAGCTCGCTGCTTGCAGGCAGCCTTTCGTTGTGAATTGGAGAACACTTCCACTCCCCAAGCGGTGATTGAATAAACACCGTTTGGTGAGACCGGAAGCAATTCAACTTTGAAATCTGTGTTAGGGAAATCGATTTTCGTAAGCAATCGGTAATTATTTCAACTATCATAGCAACAGTTGTACCATAGAGGTAACTCTAAGACAAGTAGGTCCCGAAGAAACGTGCTCAACTTTTTGGCTCACCTCTGGTACTATCTTCGGTCCCAAGCTTGTCGAATCACCCCTCGAAACATAGGAAAAACCAATAACCCCTCATTTTATCTGTCAAACTTTCATAGCGAATCAAAACAAACATTGCGTAGTACTAGAATTTCGACTAGAATAGGGTACGTTAATCGTTTGCTTGGGACCAATAGGCTACTAAAGTGGTGAGCCAATTTAAAATCGTTAGTTTCATATTGATTGTTGGTTGTACATTCGTTCAATTTTCAATGGTGACATTTTGAAAAAAAAATTAAGTTTTAACTTTAACAGATGCCAGGGAATATTTCTGATCGATTAGTGATAACATTATTGAAACTGGTCCAGGGGCAGCTGAGTTATTAACGTTCAAAATCTTTCATAATTTTTTTACTTGTTCCATTTTCGGTTTCCACAAAGTGTACCCCCATATAGAAATCACAGACGTAGTCCTACGTCAAAATAAAGAAAAGAGACCTACTGCTGTCATGATTACCTGAGATTTTTCAAATAATGTAAATATTTACACCGATTGCATCGAAGAATATAGCCGCAAAGTTCGTATGCGTTGTTCAAGTTTTTTGTGGGCCATAAATGTATAGATCAGTTAAGAGGGTACTGTCAAATTTGTAAAATCCCATAGTGAAAGAACTTTGCAAACGTTTCACGGTCGGGGAGAATCGTTTTCCAGCGACTCTACTGTGACAAATAGTTTTTCATCGAACGTTTCTGAAGGGTACGGCCATTTAAATTTGACATTTTTCTCGTTGAAAGAAAACAACAAAGAGGAGAGAAGCTAAAGGGGAAACTTTTTCGCAATCGTTCGTTTCCCGTCATCATCAGGTCAGTCTTGTGCGTTCTTCCATCGTGTTTAGTCGCGCAAAAGGTGGTAATTTTTTTTTGTTTCGTAAAAGTGATATTGTACCGTTTTCTTTTTAACCGTTTACCATTTTGGTGATTACCTATTATTTTTGAATTTATTTCACTCGCGTCGCGCGCGTTTTTCGTCGTTCCCGTTCGTGTGTGGAAAACGTCAAGGAAAATTTCCTCCCTTAAACAACGAAACGATTCTGTGTTCCCTATATTGTCCGTTTTTTGATTGATTATTCCTTTGTGTGCTCGTGTGTGTCATTATTTCGGAAGAAGGCAGCAGCAGCAGTGAGTGGTGCGATACGGAACGTGAGAAAAACAAAAATAACATCCTCTGGCCATAAAAGGTAAAAAATAGTTAAGGTGAAAATTTTTGAGCAGATCCAGATCTATTGCAAAAATCTTCTTTCTTTGGAGTGTTGGAATTCGTCTTGATGTCTGTTCTTATTGCCCGCGAGAAGAAAGGAAGGCTTGTGCGTGTTGGTGAAGAGGTGCATCAAGTTCCAATAAGAAACTGGATTTAGGTGAAAATTTTGTTCCATCGTTGCATCGGAATTTTCTCCGGAATTTATGCGGGCGGAGATTTGGGGAATGAAAAACGCAATCGTAGACATTTGAACGTGGAAAGTTGTAGGAAGTGGAAATGGATATTGTTTTAGTTCGAGAAAATTATTCCAGAATAAGAACAACATCCCAGGCATAAGAAGAAACGGATGATGTCAATCTGATATTGGTTCAAAGAAGAAGGAAGAAAAACGGGATGGACAGTGAGTTTGATGTGCTTCACGCGGTGGTAAAAATTCGCTAAGCCAATGGATTTTAATGTTTGGATCTATAAATTTAATAAATTTTGTGTTGAAACTGAATCAGTACCGTGCGATTGCTGTTCAGATTATTAGCAGCGCCGGTCTATTTTTTAAAACAGGTTGTAGTTTTGTTTTAATCTATTGAGCGCAAGGTTTCGGCTAAGTAAGAAAGTCTTAATGCATTTTTGTATCATCACATTTGTATCTCTTTTTCACATCCGATAGGTAGCTTCGTGGAAGCTAAAGTCAAATTTTGCGCGACTTGCTTGAATCTCGATTTTACGCGCCAACTAGTCACGTTAGGACCGTAATGATCCGAATACCGGATGGTGTCATGTTAACATTTAAATGCTATTTTGAGCATGGTAGGCAGTGATAATCAACTTTAAAAATGGTGCGGAATTATGGACTAAGTGTCCGAATTTCGCTCCATTATGGATGGAAACAGAAAAGCCAAAACAATCAGACGACCCATCATGTTTGGCATGTTGACTATGTATGAAACTTTCCAACCTGGCACAAGCTCTACCCTATTTGTATCGCTATTGTCAGGAGCAATCTTGGATTGGTTCCAGCTCTGTCTGCTGCGGATCAACGACCGGATTCTGGGTCGAATGTGTGCCATTTACTATACGGTGTGTGCTCCAGTTCTTCTGCTAAGAGCTGGATAATCAATATTCGATTCCCGTATGAGATGAGTTTACTAACTCGCGTCATACTGGCATAATAAGCGTGTCGAACGTAATTTACCTAAGTACATATAGGAATAGTCTACTTTGAATGCAAACCGAGCCGAGATGGTTTCGCTTTTCGAAGCTTTATTCGCTCTCTCACCACACGGCTGCGGCTCTAAAAAAAAATCGCACGATGACAGAGTTTCTTATCGAGAACCGGGTTTCAGTGTTTACATTTGCACTGAATGATTACCGCACCATTTACCTATACGAACGACGTCTTTGGCTTGTTGAATTAAAGACTCAGCCGTGTGAAAGATAACGAATAAAAACGACCGACACAAAGTCACCTTTCCAAACCGGACGACGACGACAACGGCGATTCATAATCGGTGTTCTTCTATAAATAAATTATTTCATGTACACTTCTACTTACCTTTGGCATCGGTCCGTTGAAGGCATCGCTCAAACTCACATCATCCCCGCACGCTGTTCCAAGGCTGCTGCTCGGCTTCGCCCTAATAAAGGTCGCTCCGTCACAGATTTCGCTATATACCTACAGCTTCTAAGTGCTTCTAAACGATGAAAAATTACACATATTATAGTTCGCGATCACCTACGCCTTGGCATCGAGTCGGACGTAAGATCAGCAGCACACGAAGAATAGCAGATCATAACAGTGACTGATCGTTACCGTCATTCGGTAGTTTGGATTCTCCTTCTGCTTTGATTGATCAGATGTTTATCTTGTTGAAGTGTGTTGTGATCGAACATAATGGATTCAATTATAATCGACTGTGTTGGTTCGCATACTTTCGATTCGGTCGAGTTGGTCAAATGTATGCACTTAAGATGATCTAACGGTAAAGCTATTGTGGAGAATTCCATTTGGTTTGCCACAGATCGTTATGCCTCGGATAGTCTCGTCAGTAAAGGCACCAAGCCGGAAGCGGTGGGTTCGACTCCCAGTTCGGTCGAGGAAATCTTCCGGGTTGGACATTTTCTCGACTTCCCTGAGCACAAGAGTATCATTGTGCTAATACATTGGTTTGCATATAAGCTTTCAATTAATAACTGTGTAGAAGTGCTTAAAGGACACTAGGTTTGAGAGCAAGCAAACATTTAAAATTTGTGAACAGAATTCGATTAGATTCGAAATAATTGTTGGGTGATGTAAAAATTTGAGTATCTATCTTCGTTCCGCGGAGTTTTCAACGACGCAGAGTCTGTCAAATGGCAATCACGTAGGTATTTTCAACCGATTAAACTGCTATGCTCAACGAACTGCTTGGACCACTTCCAATTCATAAAAAATAAAACAACGTTCGCAGTCAAGAGAAAGATCTCCCGCTTTCGGTAACCTCGGACTCCCACTCGTTACGGTATTACTACATGGCGAGCGTAGGTGTACGTTCAGTGTCGAAGACAAAAGAGAATACGGGGCCGATTTGTATTTAAATCGGCGAACGTGCAAAGCAGTTGGTGTGATAATAAATGATGGCGTCATCAGCGAGCGCCACCACCAATTCTCAGCCAGCAAATCCATATGGTTCGTGCTTGGATCTCCGGTTTTTATGACGATCGGATCGTTTGCCGTCGTCGCCGTACGAATGGCGTTGGTGGGCTTAAATTGAACTGAACGGCCGGACGGGCTATATGTCAACGGCTTGCGGTCGGTGTGAACGCTGAATACATTGACCTAGGCGGTGTCGGAACGTAAAGCTAGCGTGCAAGGTGTAGGAGGATCAATGTCAAGTTCGATCGCTTCGAACATGTTAATTTGTAATGGAACGCGATCTTATACCGATCAAGGGTCAAGTCTCCAGAGGTTTCCATTTTTCGTGGGACACCTACAAGTTGTATACGCAGTAGAGCAACATCTCACCCGGAATCCGTGGAATTTGGATTAGTAAACCTCCGCGAGACCGAGCTGATGTGAGGGGGCAGCCAGCAGGAAGTCTCGCACGATGCCGTCATCGCTTTATTAGTGAATAAGCTCACCGCAGCGATCCGCGCTCGACTACAGGACCGGTAAAACGCCGAGTAAGGTGTGAAGTTGATACGGTTTGTGGTGACTTGAGAAATGGACTGAAGAAAAATGAGCCGATAGGTAAGCCATATGGATCGGTGAGCGGACAGAATAGGCGACGCAGCGGCGAAGATTGCGGCGGACTGTTTGTTGTGAATTCATTCAGACAGAGCGCTGCTGCTGTTCGTTCGTGACCATATTTGACCGGTGACGCATTAATATTTAAATTGGATTCTATGTAGGTCTACGAAGGTGGCTTATCATTAATTTTTATGGAGGATATCTGGTTAATTCGATTAGGACAGAGATTGCCAAGTACCAACTATTTTAAATGCAATGGATCGTAAACTGCGCACCAGTTAGTTGATGGCTTGGTGGCAGACAGTGATGAGTTTATTTGCTTTAATCAGCGCATCCTTGGAGAAGTCGAGTAAACAGCGCATAACAAAACAACAACCGGTTGATGTCACTGACGGGCTTCCAAGAGAGCTCTTGATCTGTCTGGGCGGTGTAATTAAGATTGATGATGCAGTTTTAAGCTGCATCAAGCAACAGCCAGAAGCAGCTACAGGAGTCACATTTCAAGATCGGTAGCAGAAAGAAGCGGTACAGTCAGTGGCCAAGCGATCATTTACATTGCGGTTTTCGCTGTGATGTAACTGTAAGTTGCTTTTCCTAAAGGCTGAGCTGCTTATAAACATCTAGGAGATGGATGATCTGTGTGTTCTAGTTGAGTAGTTGACAGCGGTGAGGTTGGGTTTATTGGTTTACACTATCTCTTACGTTTAGACTAATATCGATTTTACCAATTGTCCAGTTAAGGCACAATCTCGTAAACACAACGGTACCAGTTTTGGTAATACATATCCCATTTCAATCCATAGCTGGTGTAATATTTAAATAAAGGGTGTCCACGATGAAATTGCCACACACAAAATTGATTCGCAAAATTCGAGTTTTCATCCGATTGCCATCAAATTTTCAGGGATTGAGAAATAACTATTAAACTTCATTTTACCATTTTACTCGTATTTTATTTACAGTCCATACGCAAATGCCCGCACCTTGGCCTTAACCCCGGCCATAAGATTCTGCACAACCTGTGAATCAACCGTTTTTTGCATGTAAACCCATACTTTCTTCAGTTCCTCGACTGTCTTCACTACCTTAGGTCGTTTAAGAAGGTGCTGCTTCATAATCGCCCAGTACTTCTCGATGGGGCGAAGCTCCGGAGTGTTGGGAGGGTTGAACGTTTTCGGCACGAAATTGACCTTATTGTCCGCATACCACTTCAGCACGTCCTTGGAGTAGTGGCATGAGGCCAAATCCAGCCAGAAGATTGTTGGGACGTTGTCGGCCTTCAGGAGAGGAAGCAGCCGCTTCTGGAGGCACTCTTTTATGTACACCTGTCCGTTCATCGTGTCCTGGGTCACGAAAGGTGCACTCCGCTTCCCGCACGTGCAGATGGCTTGCCAAACCAGGAATTTCTTCGCAAATTTGGACATCTTCTGAGTGCGGACATGCTCCGGAACGCTGAACTTATCCTTGGCCGTGAAAAACAGGTTGCCGGGGATCTGTTTGAAGTCGGCCTTCACATATGTTTCGTCGTCCATGATGCAGCATTCAACTTTCGTCAGCATGTTGAGGTACAACTTCCTGGCACGGGTTTTGGCGGACTTGTTCTGCTTCTCGTCGCGATTAGGGGCCTTTTGTACCTTGAACGTTCGAAGCCCAGCCTTAGTTTTGGCCTTCTGGACAAAACTTCGGCTTAGGTGCAGCTTCTTAGCCACATCCCTAACGGAGGCGTTCGGATTTCGGTTGAAGGCCCCAACTACGCG